CTTAGTTTGAAGAGATAGTTAAAAGCATCCTTAGAGTGTTCCTTCTACCTTGCCTGCATTAACCCCCAAAATAGCTCCCTTTACAACAGTTTCTAGAGAAGACAGCCACCATCAGTTCTCCACAGCTGTGAGTGAAAGTTGATGCCTTGCTATTTGATATGCAAGATACACAGGTTCAAAAAATGGAACTGCTCAAGAATTCAGAAATGTTACCCATAGCCACTTTATATTTCATAGTGACAGAAGAAGTTCAAATGACTTCTTTAGAAACTTCAAATTTTTCCTGGCACCAAATCCTTCTTTCCAGGGAATTAAAAATTTGATAAATTTCTTTATTGGATGAATACATCTATTTTTTTTCACTGTGGGTTCTTTACAGTGAAAATCTGTACTCAGTTTACTTGTTTAGCAGTTAGATATATCAAAAGCATAGAAGACTTTGTTAAAGTCAAAAAGTACATCACTAATATCCTATTTATTAAACTGTCTGTATCTAAAAACAATTTATAAAGCTGACTGTAGGTGACTTTTTGTCTTGGTGCTAGGACAAAATAGCTAATGCTCAAAATTAAGAAAAGAGGGCTGGGGATTTGGCTCAGCGGCATAAGAGCCTGCCTGGTAAGCACAAAGTCTGTTCGATCCCCAGTACCAAAAAAATAAATTAAGAAAAGAAAGGTTTATTTAGCTCACAGTTTGTGGAAGTTTCAGTCCATAATCAGTTGGCTCCGAGACACAGTTGCTCACGGCAGAGGGACAACAGCTCATGGCAGAGCAGATACCAAAAGCAACAAGAGCAAAAAGGGCAAAAGGAGGAGCAAACTTCTTTTCTTCTCTTATATTCTATGCAGGCTGCCTGCCCCAGGGCCAATCCCAGCACTAGACAATGAACTAATCACAAACTCCAGCTTCAGCTGCCTTCCAAAGGCCCATCCCTCCATGAAAGCATGAGGCTTTGGAGGGGCATCCAGACACATACCATAACACTGCACTAAAATGTAGTTTAAAAATAATATATATATATATATATATATATATATATATATATATAAACAAACAACATAAAGGGATGGTTAAAAAAGGTTAAGCATAATAATTTTTTAAAAAAGCATCTTAAAGGTAAGTTCAGAAGAAGAAGAAATTAAGAAGAGGTCTATCTGGTGTTTATAGAACATGTATAGCCCCAACAGATCAGAAACAGAACCATTTGTATTTTTAATACTTTTATCATTTTTATCCTCTTTATAAATAGAAGGCAAAAGTTAATACTGATTATACTTCTTCATGTTCAATGTAAATTTGAAAGTTTATGTTAAAACTAACTGAATAAACAAAAAGAGTCAAGTCATAGTAAGACATAAAGAAAATTCATGGTTTGCATTTGAGTATAGATACAGCGCAAGTAGAAAATATGGTGGCTCCTGCTTCAGCTAATTTACTTGAACTCTACTAATAAAAGAGTAAGCTCTAGGCACAGGAAGATGATGGGGCATCCTGTGTCCTACTTGCCAGAGCCTCCCTTGGAATATCATGATCTTGGTTACAGTGGCTCAGAGGAGGAGGAACAGGAGCAATGCTGGGCACATTTAGATGAGAGCTACAATATTATAACTTTGGAAAACACCATGAGAAGCTATTTTAAGAACTAGAGGTGTTTGGTACGGCAGTAGAAGGATGCAGGAGAGGTACAGTGTCTTTTCTGATTGGAATATCCAGCAAGTAGAACAGGTACTGTCCCCAGTGTATAGAACTCACGCATTAAAACTTTTAAAAAATCTTCACTGTTTATCTTGTTATCTAGTGAGTACCTTAGAATCGGAAAGCATTCCAATTAGCAGTTACCTACTTATCTGTGAAGCACTATCTAGATGGACACATGAACTGAACTGTAAGGGTAGAATAATGAGTAAAACCCAGATTTTATTTAAATCTTGGAATTAGGAAGTCCTATTGCTATTAACATATGTGTAAGTAAAAAACGTGGTGTAAGGTACTTTGGAAATGCTCTCCTCTACTGCTGCCCCCCTAAAGTTCATATTGTAATAAAAATATCTGATTAGATATCCAGTCAGTCAGTCTTGAATACTTTTTATGAATTCAAAGAGATTTGTTGGAATATAAATTTCTTTAGATGAAGTAGTAACATACATGTATTAGTTGTTGCTTATTGACAGAAAAATGTGCATGACATAGGTAGTAGAAATGAATAAAAGCAAACTGGGCATAAATTTATAGTGGAAAATACAGGAAACGTGCCAATAATATTCCCCATTAACTCTCTTGAAGATTCAGTAAATGAATGAGATTTTAACTACACTTTCTATAGAGATGGCACCATTGTCCAAAGTGTCTGTGTCAGTAAAACTGACAAACATTGCAACTTATGTGACTACAACTTTGAAAGAGGTCACTAATATAAGGTCATCATGTATGTATGCATATATGTATGCTTGTATGGTATGAGAGACTTTACTTGGGACTTTTGCACTAAATTACATTCTCAGCTCTTTTTTACTTTTTGAGATAAAGGCTTTCTAGGTTGTCTCCTATAGGCTTGAGTTTGTGATTCTTCTGCTTCAGTCTCTCAAAGTACTGGAATTATATATGTGTGCTATGACACCCAGTTTAATATTTACAAAAATAGATCATCTCTGTGTAATTTGAAGATGTTGAACAAGATCATCAAATTTTAGAAGACTCAATGTCCAGTTTATCAAACCAAGTGTTCATAAATAGTACAATTCTCTAGCAATAAATACAAACTAACTTTTGGGGACATCTACTCAATAAATATGCTATTTTATTAGGTGCTTTCATTTAATAGTATTTGCTAATCAAAGTTAACAGATTTGAGATAGATCATGAGAGCTTGAGATGTGACTTTAAACATCACCCTATATATTTCTACTTTTTGATAATCTTAAATTGCAATATTTTATGTTCCCTCAACTGTTTGCTTCTTGTTTCACCATCCTCAGGACCACTCTGCTATCATCCTTCTCCTTGTTCACAGAAAATCCTCACAGTTGCTCATCTACTGTCCGTGTCCCATAAGTTGATGAATTCCTTCACTACAGAAAAGTGCTCCATATACCTTTTTCTATCCCAGAGCTATTACTTTAGTTCATGCCCTAATTATCTTTCAGGTGCACTTCAATTTCTCATAATTAATATCTGTACTTTCCATCTCCCTTTTCATGACAGTTCTCCTACACTCTGATACATGAGAAATTTTCCTAATGCATACATTCTTATGAAGTAGCTCCCTACTTCAAAAACCTTCAGCAACTCACTATAAAACCATAAAAAGCTTAAACTAATTAATATAGCATGAAAATCTTCTATTATTTGATCTCTATTAACTTTATCTTTTAATACTTCTTTTTATGGTCATCTTTCTTTAATTAATCCATTATACTGCCCATTATCTAAGGGCACTCCATGGTTTCCAACTGCTGGAATGACCTTCTGATTTTTTCTACTATAATATTACTCATTTCCCAAGGTTCAGGCCTATAAGTCTTTTCTTTAATATCTTATTCTACTTTTTTTTTTCTTTTCTCACATGTGACATATTTTTCCCCTTCCCATTTAATGTATTGTGCTCTACTTCATTGTTTAGTTTTATACATATCATCCCCCCCATTTAAAATTAAGGACAGTGCAGCAAAGGTGCCAACCAAGACTGCAATAAAAATACCAAATAATCTGTAAATATATTCTAGACTGATTTAGTACATCCTCAGATACAGAGGATTTGATCTAGAAGAATTCCACTAGTGTCAATTTTGAGACAAGGAGAGTCATTTATGAGTTGCTACATGTCCAGTATTTTCATGTCTTTTAGTGCAGGTAACTACATCATACTGATTTCTTTACATACAAAAGAAAAAAGTAACATAAAGTACTCTCTGGTTAAGTGGGCACAATTGGGCATCTGTCACAATTTCAACATCCTCTCCAAAATGTTCTGATGTTGGAAAAAAGCAGGGAACCATCTCTCTCCAACCTTACTATCGCTGATGGCTTTAGGTGATAGCAGAAAAGTTACTTCATTGTTGAAAAGCAACAAAAAAATAAAATAGTCTTCTGTTGAGTCTGAAGGCTGAAATACTTAATTCTAGCATTACAGCTACAAAAGGGGGCACCATTTGGACACTGCCCATATCCTGAGAGTTGAAAGGCAGAAAAAATGAAGCAGTAAAGTTGATAGTGTCACATTACTGGGTCACTCTAACTTTGAACTTTATTTCATGAGAAAGACATTTTCCCTTTTCATTCAGCCAGGTGACCAGCAGGTTCCTCTTACTGTAGTTACAGTCACCACCTAGGACTTTATGTTGGTGCCAGGCATCTTTGGCAGGTGTTAACCATGATCAGAGCTTTAGAAGAAAAGCAAATTATTTTCCTGTTGATTTGATGATAGGTTATGAATCTATAACTTTTTTGTTATGTTTTGTCTTATTTGTTTTGCTTAACATGGGACGAAGTAACAGTCATAATGTCTTTAAAATACATTTTCCTTATTACAATTTCCAGACATACCATGATGATATGTATCTTCTTCACCATTTCAAATGCTAGATAAGTGTAGTGTATCTGTTAGGAAAATTCCCATCTTTACAATACTTAGTGTTTGAGAAGGATAGAAAAGCAAGCTAGCTTTACAGACTATTTTTCCCTCAGTGAAGAAGCAGAAAGGTGAAAACTCTTAGAGTCAATTTAGAAAATATTTTCATAAAAAATCACAGTTGTCTCTTGCATTTCTTACTAGAATTAAAGTTATTGAAAATAAATAGAGTTATACTTTTATAGAATCAGACAAAGCTCAGGAATAATTCAGTATAGCTGATGAAAAAGCAAAGATTGATCAGTTAATTATTTCAAGTACCTCATTTCTCAGATGAAGAAATTTAAAGGTAGTGTTACAAGAACTGTGCTAGTTTTTTACTCTGACATAAGAAAAAGAATTCTGACAGACATTCATTGACAATGAAAAGGATATTTTCCTGGCAATGCTGTTCCAACTCTGTAATCAGTGAAGCTCTTGCTTGGATGAAAGTTGAAAATAAAAAGCAGATTTGCTCTCTCAAAAGTGATGATCTTATTGTCTTCATGTTTTTCACTCACATAGGCCTGTAAAAATTAACTCATATGTTACATTTAAATAACCCCTAAATGCCACCACAAGTAAATTATTTACAAAAAATCATGTTGTCTTCCTGAATAATCTTATTAGTTAGTAATCCAGACCTGCAAATTCACTTCATATTTTTTAAACATTTTCATATCAAATTCTATGTCAACAAGTGTGTCAAAATGTACTTACTGAATATAAAAAATCTCACTAGCCACTTGCCAGCCTCAAAGCACAAACAAAGGGTTAATGTAGTTTAGGAATCAAGTAAAAACTTAGTACCATGAAAAGCATTTGTCCATAGATATTAATTCTCTTTATAAGTGAAGTTTAAGGCTTTTGATTTGGTCCCCAGCTTAATGTGATTCATAAAGTTACTTTTCAAAATTTTATATTATACTTAGTTTCTGAAATTTCACTTATCCTATACATCCTATAATTTTATTCAATGGCTATTATATGTTCAGTTTTGTTTTCCTTCAAGAAAAGGAAAAGGTCTGAAAAGTAGCCCCTGCAGATACCTATATTTTATCCATCATATATTTACAGTTGGCTATGCCAGGCTTTGGTTTCCAGCACCACCCTAACTCCCTGCTGCCAGCTTTGAGAGGACTTATTGTCATGCATATCAGCAGCACCACTCTTGGTAATTTAGAAATGTGAACTAAAGCTCAGAGTAAACAGTGTGCCTTTTGGTATTCAACATTGTTCCTACTGAAAAGGAGCATCATTTTGCTCTGTCTTCCAGAAATAGCATTACTAATAAATGTGATTAGGGCATTTGTGTCATGTAGCCAATCTTACTGAATGTATAAGTACCTTTGCTTTGCCATTAAAAGCAAGAATCATAGATACTGCAGTAAAAACACATCAACAGTCATTTCAAACAGCACCAATGTAAAGTAAATGGATTATAACTAACACATACTATATGCTAATTTTTGCAAGAAAAAAAAAAGCCTGTACAGAATTTGCGCCTGTTAATTACATTTTCTAAAACTTATTGAAAACTGAGACTTTAATTCCAGAGGAGAGTCAGGCTCATGAAAAATACAAAACAGCACACAGGTATAACGACATCTATTGAAATGACAAGTTAGAGACCAGTAAAGAATGGAAAAAAAGGAATAGAGAAATTTATGTTGTCAAGGTGGTTTCTTTATGACAGCATGGTTACATAAGGAAAAGTAGTCAAAACAATTAAGATGTTTCCACAGCAGTTTCCAAAAAGAGTTCCATGTCGTGCTTTTGCCATTTATTTTAACCAAATGAATTGAAAATTACTAAATTTAAACAACAAACAGACTAACCAGACAAGCAAGTGAGGCACTATGTTGAAGATATTCATTATGTGCTGGAGAGACTTCAGTGACATGTTTTGACAACCTGAAGTACGTTACAGGCACTACACACTGAGTAACAAAGTGCTGTTTAGAAGATCTGCATATGGATTCAAATCCATTGCCATTCTAAGCATGTACAACATTGGTGACTAAAACATCACATTTAGAGTAAAGAGCTTACCTGAGGAGCTGATAGCCAACCACATCTTTCTTCCAATCTATTCATATCCCTGTCAAAGTTACTTAGGTGTTTATATCGAAGAAGGTCATCATCAGCTAAATGAAACTGCCTTCTGGCATAATGGTAACTCTCGTTGTTCCCTTTTCTTGGGAAGTCTAACCATTCGGGATGCCCAAATTCATTACCTGCATTAAAAAGGGTAAACATTAGCTATTAATATTATTGCTTGTAATTAAGATAACTCCATAGGTACATGCTTTTAAATGTTTTCTCTAATCAGCTTGTACTAAAATTTATTATAGTTTTACCCTGTGAATGATATATACGCCTGATTCAAAAAGCATGTTGTAGTATAGAGAGTACCACATTTGGATAATAAAGCCATAGCCCCAACTTTAGCCTGGAAACTCATTTCTTGTTGGATACCTCAGGTTTCTCTTGTACAAACTGAATGAGAATTATGCCTGCCACGATGATTTCATCTCTGAAATAATCTAGATTCTGAGGAATTTCTGAAGTCTCTACCTATATAATCTCTGAAATCCGTACAATGCCTTACAATTTCTAAGAGCTTTGTATGTATGTTGTTTTTTGATCCTCAGAGGAAATATCTATTACAGTCCTTACACAGATGAAAAATTCACAGCTCTGGCAAACTAAGGGATTTGCTCATCCTCACATAGACAATACTAAGTGGAGATGCTACCATTAAAATTTACTTCTGATTAAAATCTGAAGTTTTTCCCACCACATCACATTAGGCAAGCATGTTACCAATTTCAGGCATTACAGAAATCTTATCATAATTACTAATTTTCCCTATTTCTTTTCAGATGTACTCATCACCATTAAATATGTATCTTTAATTTCAAGTACATCTGCATGTGTGCTGCACATACTCATCTGAGTATACAGATGGAAAAAATCTGGTTGGGAATTCATTTAAATATTATTTCTCTAGTTAATAATAAAGTCCAGAAACCCAATAAACTTTAAAAATAAAACTATAGTGAATATAATCTTTATTGTAATAATCGAACTTAGATTGGCTCTGTTATCCTAATTTGGATTTCTCATGTAAAGTTATTTTCCTGCAAAAGTTAAATTTTTAAAATTTATTTTCACATATTACTTGAATGCTGCAATTTTCTAGGCCACACATTTCTCTTGATGAGTGAAGAGGTACTAATGAGTATATCCTACTTCAAAGAAACTAGCACATTAGTATTCCAATAGATAAAGATTAATAAACTAGAATATAATTCAAAAGTAATTACCATATAGTTGCCTTAAATAGTGAACTTGGCTAGGAAACCCTGAAATTTACATTTAATTTTTCAGGAGCATAGCATCAAGTTAGAAAATAACATCCAAATAGATAGTTATGTAGAAGTTTCATAAAAATTAAAGTACCTACCATTTTTCTAAACATTAACATTTTGGTCTAAATAGTATCCACAGCATTACCGAAGAGGTACAGATTTTAGACTCTGTGAGCCTACATTTATTTTTGGGTGCTTTAAATTGATACAAGTCAATTTTTTCTGCTCCACTTAAAGAGTCCTGCCAAGGTCTAGAGCCTGAACACATAAGCTCGTAGTTCTGCCTAAGGTATTTCTTGTTCCATCAATTATTCAACTGACACAATGATGTACCTTCAGAATTGTAACCAGTATATTCTTTACTGACCATTAAAGCACAAGTATATGTCAAAGTATCAACCTGAATACTAGTGAGATTTCAAGTAGTGGACAACTTACCAGAGATTAGAAATTTAATTAGGTTGATAAATTATATTAACCTACAAGTAGATTCACACCTTCTACAGGGAAAAGACTGTATTAATTGGTTAAAACCAGTATTAATGACAATTCTTTTAGTGTTCTACCTAGACAGAGGTCAAATCATATAACCCCAGAAGAAAAAGCAACAAATGTTTAGTGTCTAGGCATTAGGTGCTAGGCATTATTGTAAGCCTGTCACATGAATTAATTTTTTCCATCCTCAATAACTCTATGAGGTAGATATTGTCATTGTTGCACTCTGAGAGACAGAAAAGAGTTTGGATTGACCACAAAATAGGATTGGTGGTGAGAAGAGCTTAGATAAACAGATGAGATTAAAATGAACTTTATAAACTGTAGACCTTCTATTGTAAGGGAGTAGGGAACCAAAAAATTCAAATGTGATAATTATTAAAATATCTGGTACACTGTAGAAAAAGAACTGGATATTGTGAGACATGAAGTGTACATAAATTTGCATAGAATTTAAAGCACAAGCATGATTTGCATAGAATTTAAAGCACGAGGTACAGTAGGAATGAGGAAAAATATAGAATCAAATGGCATTTCTAAGATGTACGTAACAAGATTTGATGACTGATTGGAGGGAGAGAAGAAAGGATGTCTGGATGCAGTTTTGAAGTTTGAGGTTTAGGACACTGAATAACGACAACATGAACTGTGGAAAATGGTGACAGAGAAAGTTTGGGTGAAAAGAAAATGAGTTCAATTTTAGGAATGCTAAGTTTAGGACCTGAAGGATTTACAGGCATTCATGGATTCAAGGTAAGAGTGATGAAAATAAGCTACTGAAATTCATGAGAGAATTGCAGGTGAGAGCAAGAATAATTTGTAAAACCATGATAAGTGAAGATAATTGTAGCCACCAGGAGCAATGGCCACAGGCAGCAGCCCAAGGAACTTCACCCAGAAGGAAGAGCTGTGAGGGGAGACTGAGGCATAATGGTTAGCAGAGTAAAGGAGACATCAGAAGTGGCATCAAATGCCACCAACAAGCAACATAAAACAAAACCCCCCCAAAACCATAATGAAGATCAGAACCAGCTACAGTAGGAAAAAGGTGGGGTAGAATTATATTCTCAATGTATAACACTGTATTTCACTAGATCTGTTAAAAATGTTTATCTCCATTAACGCTTATTCATTAATTCTGTTGGAGACTTTTGGGCTGGAATCTATAACTTTACAAACTTCCTCGTAATATTCTGAAAGTAAGTGGGTTAACATACTCACCCTAAAAAATACAAATGTAGAGATTTAAAAGTTCTTTATGTCTAAGTAAGAATAGTTACCCAATGTGATACTCATGAATATACATTTCCAAATCATCCAGAGCCAAGCTTAAGTTAGGATGAGGTCACTTAAGAGAAACATGATTTTAGGCAATATAAAACCTCCAATGCTCGGTTTTGTCATCTACAAGATAGGACAATAGGTTTCACGAAGTTCTTTTGAGATTCATGGTGAGGTAATTTAAGTGAGATGCTTAAGACAGGATCGGGCAGCTATATGTTCTCAATGTTTGAGAGTTCATATGTTACACATTTTCACTCATTCCTGATGTGGAAGAATGACCTAGAAGGCAGTAGATGTTAAAGTTAAAATTTTTGGCTGCCATCTTCTTGAGCTGCAGTCTGGCCATTTTTTGTCTCCAGAAGATATGCAAGTCACCAGGAGAAATTCAGATGATAGCTATTTAGGTCTTTTTCCCTTATTGCCTTATTTAAAAAAAAATACAATGCTACAGTAGGGAATTCATTCATATTTCTAATAATACAATCACATATCCTAAAGCCATGTATTAATACATTTTGCATTATTTACTATTTTAAAACTTCAAGGACAGAAATTGATTATGAAAACAATTTTGTTCAGATTCACATTGATAGACTGAATCAGATTACTAAGTTAGGTATCTTTCCTCCACTCTCATGGAACCTTCATATGCTCATGTTTATGCTTCCAATCCTTGGAAACACACTCTCAAGAGCTATTCATGTTGTAACTCGTGGACACTTAAATTTCATTTGAAAGTAACATTTTCTGTACCTTCTTAAAGGAGAACTTTACTCAAACGGGAACATTCCCAGACCTGATGACCTCACCATTTTCTAGTACTGTTTCCCCAGCCTTCTTGAAAATATGAATGAAGGTCACAGCCCCTGCTGTTAGCCATCTTTACAACTGCCTGCAGTGGATTATTGAGCTGAAAATAACAATTTTTTTTCACCAGATAGTTTTGCTTGCACTTAGTATCTTGCCTTGCCAGTGTAGTTTTCATTAGGATAGAGCTCAATGGTCAGTTTGACCCAAACTATTAGAAGGGTTATTAAACCAGCCTATAATCTGATTTAAAGATAAATGCCTATCTTCCAGAAATGCATACATGCAACACACATGATTCAGGCTCAGATGGTTCACCAAAACCATTAAGTAAAAATTACAACGTGCAATTACATTATCACTTATTTCTAACATTCCGGTATGGAAAGTCACAGTTTTATAATGTGCTGCATAAATAAATATGATGGACTGAAGTTTGTATCATCCTCAAATTTATATGTTGAAACCCAAAGTCCTAATGTGAAGGCATTCATGGGGAAGTGATGGGATGGTGAGGGTAAAGCCATCACAACACAGATGCACGTGGTTTTCTTATTCCTGCTGCCCTGAAAGAAACCGCACAATGACAACCATTTAAGAATCAGAAAAAAAATCCTCACCAGACAGCATACCTGCCAATACCTTAATGCTGGACTTTCTAGGCTGCAGATTATGAAAAATAATTGTGGTTTAAGCTACTTATCTTATGGTTGTTTGTTACAGTAGCCTGATAAAACTAAAAAATAAAGGTTGTTAAGACTAAATGAGGTAAGACAAAAATTTGTAGAATAGTAAAAGATATATACATCTATATAATAAATGATGCCTACTACAATTTTTAAAATATTTATTATGCAATAAATATACTAACATATCATTTTTAAAACCACAATTAGGTGCTTGTATTATAATCTGAAACCTTACAAAAGAATTTTTTTCTGTTTGGTAAATATTTATTTTCACTAATACCTATATTTAGCTATAGGCATACATACATATCTTTCATATATATACCTATATCCATTCCATTTCTTTAGCTAGTATCTATCTTTTTACAACGTGCTTTTCAATAAAGATAGATTCATATACTCACTGAGAATATTAATGTCATATTATATGTCAAAAAGTATATTTCTATATGACTGTACTCTACCATGTGCATATAATGAATTCTTATTCAACAAATCACCTCGTTAGACATTTTTCTTTTTCTTATACTTCAATATTACTTAAAAATAATCAGTGTTATACCTTTGGAAATTTGTTGTTTATCCAAT